GGGTCTTGCTATGCAGTTCAGGACAGCCTTGCCCTCACTTTTGTAGTGCCCAGGCTGGTCTTGAACTTTGTAGTGATCCTTCTGTCTCAACCTCCCAAGTGCTGCGAGTATAGGCATATGCCAACATACTAGTTTTGGGGTTAGCATGGTGTACCGGGGCCAACACAGCATGAGAGGTCAGGATTGAACTCGGGACCTTGCAATTGCCAGGTGCTTATGCCTCTGAGCTATCTCCCCATCCCTTCTAGCCACTTTTAAAGACCCATTTGAATCACATTTGAATTTACATGTATATTTCAAGCTCTCATAATTTGAAGAGTTAAATTTTACAGTTCCTTCTGGATTAAATCATTCTTTTTGGAATTTCAACTTTTATTATCTGATGAACTTACAAAATACTCAACAGTAGAACTTTTATTCTAATTCAATTTCAAATTTCTTTACAGTAAGGGCAATGTCCTATATTTATATTTTAATTCTCCACTAAACATGTTCTTTGTCCATAGTACATGCTTAATAATATCTTATGCAATGAATGTGGCTGAGATAGGCCTACTGACCAGGCTTCAGTCTGAAGGCCCAACTTAAAATTTATATATGATAGTAGCTGGATTGTGTCTGAAGGGACCACGGAAATGGTCAAAGAAAGGAAAGGTTAATATGAGTGGTTATGAGTGCAAGTCTAAGTAGCAGAGCTTAATCCTATCCTGTGCTATGTTTTCATCTTAATAATATATCTCAGCATTTTCTCACTTGAAAAATGTATGGAACTAATAGCGTGATAGAAAACTAAGGAAAATTCAAGCAGAGGGAGATGACACTGCTAACTGTGGTAGACTGACCCACAAAATGTATCGATTCTCTGAATTAGCTAGAAAAAAATAGCCACTACCACCACAAAAAAAAAAGGAGGAAGGGTCCTGAAAATGGTGTCTTAGCAATAAAAGACAGTGAATATTTTAAAGATCACTGAATTTAATTTATTCAACCTAAATGCATAAAAGTACAGGTGGGGACATTATTTATGCAGGTATATGCAAATCACTTTATAAAATAGGCAAAGCCCTTCTGCTTTTTATAAGTTGCCAAGGTGGTTCCTGATATTTTAAAAGCTATGTACCTTTAATGTAATTTCCTAAGAGTTGGAATCCCTTGTAGGTATCACAGTCATTGTCAAAGAAGTTATTTTTTTCTCCTTTCCTCCAGGACATTTACAAGGCTCTCATGATCACCACAAAAAAGAGCGATTTCCACAGAGATGTGACTGGAAAAAATCCCCTGCAAATTGTTGAGGAGTAAGTCACAGTGTTCAAAGCAGAGAACATAGGCTTTGAAAACATGAACCCATCTGACCTCCTGAATTTAGTACAGTGAATTCCTGAGCTCTGAAACATGGGATCCGGCTGTGCATGCCATATTGGTGCTATAAGAGTGGCAGTAGGTTGGCTGTGGCATGGTCTATTTCAAACTCTTTCACAGTGCCCAGTGTTGCATGTTCCCAGATGACATTTGGTTGGCAGAAGCTGGGCCTCCAAAGCTGGCAGCCTGGAATGCAGCCCATTATGTTTTGACAAACACATAATTGACCATCTGATCACCAGCCTATGTTCTGCACTCAGGTCACTGAGGGACTTGGGCTTTTAGAAGGTCCCTACTCTTCTTGTTCAACTTCTCAAACCTTTCTGTAGGAAGCAATATAGAGAAGACTTAAACACACCCACGCAGATCCTTCCATTTGTCTCACGAACATGTACGTGAAACATAAGCTGTTGAACATTTCCTTTAAACTGTCCTGGCAGCCCAAAGTGAACAAGAGAAAAGCACACTTATGGTGAACTCTTATTGAGAGAAAATGGATGAATATACTTTACTATTTCAACACCCTGTTATGTGTAAATTGTGATTCAGTTTAATGATTTGAAAAGTCTGCTCAGAAAAAGCAGCAATGGGAAAACCATAGGAAACTGGGTTATTAATTGACTTTAAAGACATTAAAAAAACTGTTTCATTTTTAGCAATATTTTCTTCTTATTTGTTCTTTTTCTTCTGGCTCTATGCTTACTTAGGATACCTACAACCCCAGAGAACATCAGGCAGCAACTGAGAGTAAGGTCAGATTCTCATTTGAAGCTCCCATAAGGATGCATTTTGGTCTGAAATTTGGCCTCATGCAACATATTAACCTTTCTCCTAGAAGACAAGGTTTATGCAATGGGCCAAGATACGCTGGAATTCTGCAAATGTTAATGCCTATGTCAACACTCTCAAGTAGCCTCCCTTTTCTATTCCAGCCCTACTGAATAGTGGGGGGGGGGGGCTTGCTTTTCCACCTTTAACGTAGCTTTTCTCTTCTTCATCAGCCATCTCTATCATTAGAGTGCTTTTTCCAAAATGTTAATTTGCTTTAAAGTCTCTGAAATCTCTTTGAGCCTGAAGAAGCAAGTAGAAACTTCTCTGCATGGCATACTAGGCCTCTGTGATCTGCCTCCTGCCTACTTTTCTGGCCCTATCTCCCTTGTTCCTCTTTCAATCACCTTACCGTGTTCCAGGAACACCAAACCAGTCAGTCCTATGGATCTAGCTGTAACTTGATGCCCTTTGACTTTATAAATGTTCTCACTCTTCTTGATTAAGAGTGCTTTTTGTTTTACCTCTCGTCTATCCAGCTGGTATGCTGATATTTCAATTTTGACTTTAAGAATTATCTTGGACACCTACCCACATGCAAGTGGGTACTCCTTTGTCATTCTTCTTCATATATATAATATAATATATACTATATATATATATATAACCATCCCCATGCCTATCACATAAAATAGCCTTTATTCTCTTATTTATCTCCACTATTGTACTGTGACATCCTTTAAAAAGTGGCGAGTTCTCAGAACCTAGCACAGTAACATTTTCTGTAAATGTTTGTTGACTGAAAACTAAATAAAGATCTATGCATGATAATGAACCAAAACTAAACCAAACAGTGGTATTGGCTTTTATAAGCATGGTAGGAGACTAATATCAATCTAATGAAGGTAGAAGAACTCAGCACTAAGGTATTTTCTAATGGTTAACAAAGGGGCTGGTGATTGATTGGCTGAAGTGAAAGTAAAGCAGGAAGATGAATGCTGTGATAGATGTCTTCTTCTTTTTTTTTTTTTAACAGAGAGTATCACTAAAGTAGTAAATTATCACCATTTACAGTGTGGCTTTCAATAATTAAAGGTACTGTCTGAGGCTGGAGAGGCCTTGATCTTAAGAGTTAGGATTCCTAAATAGGACAACTCTATACTATTCTTCAAGATAGCATGGTAGGCTATGGTGGATTACTTTTGTTTGTTTGCTTCTGTTGAAGCCTAACTAAAAGGAAAACTCTTGGGAAAAGTCTTGAAATCTGAGTCAAATTCAGTTTGGGACATTGGACTAAATGCAATGCCTGGCAGGGAAGGTCAGAATAACTCAGTTCTGTATCTACATGAAGGCCACTGACGAGGAGTGAGAAGCACTGGGGAGATAATGTTCACATCTCTTCACAAGCAACTCTTCCTTTTTTCTGATGCGCCTCTGAATCACCATCCCAGAAGCCAACAGCTGTATCCACAGGGTACTTGGGGACAATAGGACTGTTACCTTGCTGGCATAAAAGCAACCTCAGAATTTGGAAGAATCCAAGCAACTATGAACTATGGCCCAGAAGTGGGTCATGATCATGTGGACAGGGATGGATTACCAACTCACTATAGGTCTTTGCCATCCTCTTACATCTGGTTAAAAAATTTGACCTCTCTAGAAGTTGTTTGACTGATGGATGATACAGCACAGAATCAATTTTACATTTTCCTATAAGACAAACACAGCCTTTCAATTATATCTTTTATCTCAAAGTTCTCTTCTTTGATTTTTAATAGGTGACACAGATCTCTTACACTGCTGGTGTCTGAGGCTTGCCCTCAAGCACTGACATCATAATAGCTGAGCTCTGCAGGCAAGAGTGCATGATGCTGACTCATTCTGGTGATGTGAGGATTAATGCGTTGTCTAACACAGAGCTATTATGTGAACTGTTTTTACACAAAAGAACTGTAGCAAAAAATGATTTGCAAGTCAGAGGACTAGAAATATGCAGTGCTAGGTAACTGAGGAGAAAGATGTAAATAAATAAAGTAGTAACAATAAGTGTGCACACTAACATCTTCCAAAGCCTTTGCAGACTCCATCAACACCAAGAATAGGGAATAGCAAGACATGTCAGGAGCAGTAGAATCTGCCCCTGTTATAGGAATGCATTACACACAGCATCAGTATTTGGTCAGTTTAATCAATCTTTTTTCTCTGTCAAGTAAAATGTCACATTAGACTTTAGCTTAGAATCCTTTGGAGGACACAGATCCCCTACATATATTTGATATTTTCTCTAAGGACTGTTAGTGGAAGCCAAACATAGGAAAAAAAGTTATGCTAACCTTTTATATAGATGATTACAACAAGAAGACTATCTCATAGTAAAGAGTTAGGACAATAAAACATAATTTTTGAGACTAGGGGACAATATTCACCTCAAGAAGGTGAGATGTAGTCAGAAGGATGCTGACAAGTAGGTGCTTGTCACTTATGATGGGATTTCATGGACAGTATCTCTTGCAGTAACTTTGATTTTTTTTTTTTTTTTTGCTTTAACTGCCCCAGAATCTCTTTGAAGAAACTTAAAGGAATATTTATTCACTAGAGTAGTGATTTTTGAAAATAGCAGTTGTAGCCAAGTAAAGGGCAGTCTATATAAGAAAATCAGCTAGGCCGCTGGTTTTTTCAGCTTCTACCTGAATGGTAACATAGCACTACCACTAACAGTCTCAACTCCAAACATGAAAGAAGTTAATGCATACTGAACAAATACTAGAGATCAATTCAACTAGAAAGTTAACCAGAAAAGACATCAATAATGACCAAAATTTCCTAAATCAGACAAAATTTCTTTAAAAGGTAAATAAACCACTTTTACTTACATAAAGAGAAAGGACAGCTGAGAATCTGATGGTCACAGAACTGAAAAACAAAGAAAAAAACCCATGGAATTAAACACAAAACTAATGATACAGTGGGAAAAGAAAAACAAGTATCAATGAGGCTGTTTTTCTTCTTCAAGGAGCCTACTTTGTTACTTGTGGTTCAAAAATAAAAGAGATCCAGCCTCAAGTAAAATTTCCAAAGCTGTGACTCCTACTATGACAACCAAGATAGTACTTCCCAGTGCAAGATGCCAAGGTCTTTCTTAGTCAATTACATTCTGATCTGTGTCAGAATGTATCACTCTAGAATGATAATTTTTTTTTGTAGAATGTCATTTTTATTTTTATTTTTTAAAAAGAGTACAAATTAGAATTAAAACAAAAAATTACAAGTGCTACAGATTTTCAGATGAGAAGAATTAAGAAAATCTGCAGCCTGGATCATAAGACATGCTAATGCAAGAGAGGTTGGGGTGTCTCCCATGCTTTCAAATTGTTTCACAAAATTGATGAGTTTAATGGAAAGTTTAAGCAAGATAATTAGATTATGTATGATTTATTGAAAGTTCACTCAAAATTGAAATACAAAATAAAAACTAGGGTTCAAAGATTTTTAGGCTCTAAGTTTTGCTCTATTATTTTTTTTCTACAAGGCAAAATATTAAACTACCGAAATGAAGCATCTTTTCTTAGTTTCCCCCCTTCTTCCTTCCCTTAGTTCTTTCTTTCTGTCTGCTCTAAAAGCCCCTTCCACCACCCTTTCCAGAATGCTCTCTTTCTCAGTGTATGGTGAGAAGAAAATATGGTTAGCAATTTTTTATAAAATATGTTATAATTTTTCTGCGGCATGCTATAAACGCAATAACTTTCAATAATATATTAAGCTTTTTGAAAACTACATTTAATATTTATATTCATATGTCTAAACATGTAACTTTCTTTCCCAAATTTCAGTGAGCATTTTATTCATAAAACTGGTCAAAATTAATTTTGATATGATCGAAAGAAATCAATATTAATTGTAAACAGACTGAATAATAAAACAAGGACTGGAATGAAAAATGATTTTTCCTGATGTGAAATGACACATAAGCTGTCAATGACGGGAATCCAAGATGAAGAGAAAAATCACAGTATATGTCACATTCTAACACAACTTAAAACTAAGTTAAATTAAAGATTGTGTTCAATTCAATTTTCTTTATATATTATTGCAAACCAATAATACTGATCCAAATTTAATAGTAAAGCTAAACTTAAATTTCATAGACTTACATAATTCATGTTTATTAACATAAAAAACTACTTCTTGATTGAATTAAAATATGTTATGAAATTTTGAGAGTGTATTAATCTGTGCAGATTTATTTTTATTCAGTTCAAATCATATATATATATATATATATATATATATATACCCTTTCCACCTCAATGATATTCACCTTACATGTCTGCACATTGTTTTTATCTAAAATTCAAAGGATTGTACATAAAGCATTTGCATTAAGCATGCTAAGATCAGCACAGATATGTAGCAAAGAAGAGAATATAAAACCCAAATAATTCAGGACACTAAAACATTACAGTAGGGGCTTATGTATACAGATAACTAAAAGGGGTGACTTGCAGTGCAATCTAAGCTTCATGATTTCTAAGTAGATCCTAATAAAATGTGACCATTCAAGCAACTAACAGTATTACTAATTGTAATTTTAAGGATTAGTTAGTTCTAATTTCAACAGGAGGATCACTATATAATATTTTCAGCAGTGGTTTCTAGCACTTGGAAGGTGATATAGATTCCTGTGCAGTCCCTCTCTCCAGAAAACTCCTCAAAAATACCAAGTTTCATGGAGTTCTCAGACCCCATGAAGATTCATCTCTGAATCCCAATGTACTTACCTTTGTCCTTGAGGGAGGGGAGAGAAAACCCTTTTTAAACCTCATTGTTCATTTCCTTTAAGAAGTTTTAATAAAACACAACAGGCTGAAGCCATAAGTAAGGAACACACATAAAAGATAGAGCTCCAAGTGGGTGAACATGTGTGGTCAGAGACATATGGGCTCCTTTAATGTCTCCCAGGCGCCTATCTTCATAGTCTTTTATGATTTGTTTTTTAAATTGTTCATAGATCCATACCTGGCACTGGTAGAGAAGCATGAAATAGAGAAATCATAAGGATAAAAAGAGTTACTAAAATTTACTGAGTATCTTCTGTGGTGTCAGGCATCTTGATAAGTAAAAGCTTCTCCAGTTTGACTCTGCGTATACCTAGGGTTGCACAGAGTATGACACAGAATACACACAGCTACAAAATACTAAGATATGGCTGGCTTCCTGGAGAACCAGCTTTCTTTGTGGGCAACTTAAATTCTTATTTGTAATTCATTCTTCTATGCAATAACTCTTTCTTGGATGTTATAGGAGAAATAGAATAGATCCTGTCTTTGTCCTTCCAGCTTGGTGAAACATAAGAATACACTGCAGAGAAGAAAGCAAAATTTGTATGTTTGTTAAGAGTAACACATGAGGCCTCACTGAAGAGTCTTGCTTGTGGCAGACTGTTTCTGGTGATGTTCCAGCGTGCACTGGGATCACTAACTTGAGTATCACCCAACTGGAAGAGTTTGAGAAGCAATGGTACATTGTCTAGTTCAGTTCAACTAACAAAATACTGTTACTTCCAATTTATTGGAGGGAAAAAAAAGATCTGAGAAGTTAGGAAATTAGCTCCAATTTGCATAGCTGCTAGCATCTGAGTAAGTCTTTATATTCCAAAGTCTACCATTTTTTAACCATTAATTTAAACTATCTCTAGGTGTTTTCCACTTCATGTTCCCCCTTAAAATTTGGGCTCATTCAAGATTATGCAGGATGGGTTAAGCTTTTCTTTGGAAGGAGATAGGTTTGGCTTGCTTTGTACTCTAAATATTTCACAATGGTAAGGAAAGCTATTATTATACCCATTTTATGGTGAGGAAGCTGAGTCACTTGCCAGCCGAGGTATCTGGCTGGGTTAAAAATGGAATCTGGGTCGTTAGTTTCTCATTCTTCTTAACTAATGCCAAGCCCAGGCAATGTTACTAGCCAAGGTCTTCTACACATGGGACTCACTGGGTGTTGGACAAACTGTGCTATGAGAAAACAACAATAGCTCAATTTTTAAAAATAAGTAATCATAACTCACAAAATCAATTACTTTAATCACTAAGAGAAGAAAAGGGAGAGCTTATTCACCATAAATGAGTCAGAAAATTAGGATGTGTCTCAGCACTGATGACAGAGCTGAGGAATTTAGATGAACTGAAGTTTAACACTTACCTAGCTTAAATGTTTTTTTTTTTTTGATAAAAGGTATATCAAAAGGGTATGTTTTTAATTTTTCCAATCTTTTTTCTTCAAATATTCTCTTTAGAAGTCAGCTTTGATATTTTTGTTTTCTATGGATAGAGATAATATTTTAATATCCCTTTAATGTTCTACAAGTACTATATTGAATTCTTATATGGGATTCATTCCAAAGAATAGGAAGAAAATTTTTACTGATTTTTCCTAAAACATTTCCAACTTCCAGTATTTTCCAAGGATAAGGCATTATTGGACTTTTAGATTCAGATGCTTCTGAGTAAGTCTAGCTATATAGATTCTTGTCAATTGATATTCCATCTTCACTCTAGATACATGATTTCCTTTATCTGACATAGTCAAGAAATTCTGTGCTTGATTTAATGACATTTCATACATCTTAGTTTGGGGAATTTTTAATTCTCCATTTTCTATGCAGCAAAAGTTCACAAGTTAAAGTCAGACAGAAGCTTACTCAAATGTGCATATAGAGCATTAGCAATCTCATACTAGGTCTTTTAGCATTCCTTATGGATCAGTTTTTTTTTTTAGGCATTTTTGTTTCTTTTAGTCAGCCATAAAAGACTATATATATCATTATAAATAATCATTCATATTTTGAGGTCTGCTTTTCAAGATCATATTCTTTTGGATCCATTTGAAGACAAATGATAAAGGAATAATAGAGATACTATATTACAACCCTGAAAGATGTATATTTTCAACAATTTTGGTGATGAAATAAGATAATCATCAATAGAGAGGATTTTTAAAAGTCAAGTTCAGCAATTAAGCCTGGGACTGTTTCATTGCCAAGGTACAGTGTTAACATTCGCCACACCCTGCACCGTCTCCCTACCCTTTCTGATATTTACAGGTAGAGGGGCCTGAGAAAGGAGAAAGCAGTAGTATTGGGAGGGGTGGCTGGGTATCACCTGTATTTGTTTACTTTTAGCATGATTTCTTATAGCTCCTAAAATAGATCCAATGTTTTAGCATTATGATTTTTAGGAAGACTTTATAATCTTACTTCAAAGATCTTATCTCTCCATATCTCAAATTCTCGATGTTGTAGCTTTATAGATTTCAAATGCATTGATGTAATAGACCTTTGACTTACCAGTACACTGATACTTTTTAGGGGATCTGAAGCATTTAATTGATGCTACCATGTGGTCTAATCAATCAGAGGCACTTGTTCATAATTCTGCTCACAATCTATGATTAATGTCATTTGGTACAAAAAGATTATGCCTATTACAGGGCCAACTCATCCCAAGTTTACTTGGTGTATAAACATAGAAAGTAACATATTAGTAGTACAGAGGACTCTGGAATAAATATGGGCACAGCAGGAAGAAGAAAGAAACAAGCAGATCAGTGTGAACAGAAGGCTCTCTTTACTCAAATGGCTTCCCTTACATGGCTTAAAAACAATGCAAGAAGAAAAATTACAGCATTAAAATCACATCAAAGTATATAAATTTAGTAGGTATCTGTACCTAATGACATTAGCATTTAAATCATGAGGATAACATGAACCAGGTCTGTGTTTTAAAGACTTGGAAAGAATGTTCAGTAATATAGATTGGAAAAAGTTACTTTTATTCTGTCACTACCTACTAGTTGTTTAAGAGTATGTAAGGCTTTTCACAATCTGGCTTCAACCCATCTCCCCAGGTTTTCCCCTC